TTAAGTGCTATAATGAAAATAATACAATAGAAGAGAATGAGAGTTGTTAATCGTGTTTTATAAAAATTGATCATAACATCTGTTGACTGATTTCAAAATTTCCACTCCAAGAATCATTTCTCTACGTTCATTTCTCTCGCATTTTCCAGTGAACATTTGTAAAATCCAAAATATGATTCTCGGATATCTCGATCGCTCTTATTCTTTTCCACCGCAACCATTCAGCGTCCTATTTCATCCGCCAAATATTCTCTCCATTCTGAACTGTTCAGTCAGCGTTACCTCCCAATTGTTTATGATTGTTTCATTCGCCCACTCCACATCCGTTATCACTGAACGATATCTTCGCTAAACATTGTAAAGTGCTTCCCGCCACAATCTTTTTATCATCACTAAACTGTAGATGCCTTCCAAAAGCATGAATTGTTATCAAGGAAAATTGCGGTGAATAACACATTCTTAAAATATCATTCTTATCGCCTCAGTATCATTCGGTTCTATTTATGAAATGCGTTATATCCGTATCATTCATCTAACCGTCGTATAGTAAATCTCTACGTACGATGCGTTTCATTTTCTATATCCAATATTTTATCAGCATTGGTCTGTCGGTTGCTTTCTACTTATATCTTAAGTTATTTTCTTCTTCTATTTCCACTTCAGTAAATCATGGATTACGTGAATGGATTCGGCAGAGTGAATCGCTAGAATTGTAATCCTTGTATCTTTACGTTTGTTCAGCTGTTTCCGTAGTGAGCAGTTATATTTTTTGATTATCAAATAATCGGAAACTGAACAGTGCTAGTGCCACCTATGCAGCACAACTCTATGGTGATCTTGAAAGTATTGATCAAAAATTTCAGGCTGAAATTATCATCTGTTATGATTAATTATTTCGTCGGAAGGTTGTTCTATTGTAACAAACAATTCGTAACTGGTTCCTTTGTTTTTTTTTGTTACTTCTGTCTATTGCTAGAGATTCAACCGAATCTATCTAACACTTCGAAACATTTTCTGTCATTCAATTGATCATACTTTTCATTGAAAGTGCCTTCAAAATGTTATCATACGTAGCGTTACAATTGATCCGTTCTGTATGCTTGAGGCGTGCTTACAGCTAGCTCCAGCGCTTTTCAGTATTGATTTCAATGAACTATTCCAAATTTGAATTTGTTCAAAACAGTCATTAGCGAGAATACTCGATAAAATGTCGAATGGCAATGAAGTAAATGGAATTTCTGAATTAGATCTGCTAAGCTAATGCGTTGAAGATGAGAGAGTAAATTTTTTGAGGTGAAGTGTGCCTGCCACATCTCCAAAAAGTTGATCTCTTTTGAGACCAATCGCAGGTTTTTTCAGCTATTATATTCAATTTTACGAGACGTCATATTTTACTACCGGCTGCCTACGCTATAATCCCATAATCACTAGCGCTAATCGAGTTTCCTTCAGAAAAACTCACTTTCTATTCCGATCTTTTTTTTGTTTTTCTAAAATAAACCTCAGATTTCGATTGTTTTTCGCTCATCTGTCGGCGTTCTAATTCCGTTCTTATTTTTCGTCATTCCCTACTGTTTCTTTTTCCAACTGTGCACGTTGTTTTTTTGGCTTCGGTAAAATTCAAAATTCCACTGAAATTTCAAATGATTTTCAAATGTTGAAAACTCCGACATGATTTTACTTCGTTTTTGTTTTCAGCACGGCTGAAGGCGATTGTTATTTGTTGGTGAATTGGCTGACTGGCAATCAACTCAAATTACCGATAACCTACTATTGGCATCGTTGATATTCGCAAAAGTATTCATAAAATAGCAGCTATCGACTACTTCTTATCAAATATTCTCACTACTCATTATCGTTTTTTTAATCATTTATGGAACGTTCAACTACAATGGAACAGGAAGACAATGACTCAGCCGTGTTAGATCTTGCTGCAAGCGATATGGATTCGTATGTTTATTCTTTTATTTTTCGAATCATTTTTCATTCGTTTCAACTATTTAACTCAATCAACGCCACTGCAGTGCCATTGCGTTTTTATTCTTTCTTTTGCCGCACATAATGCTCATAAGTCGAGTTTTGATTCATTCCAACTGTTCAGTCAAATTTTTATTCATTCGCATAACCGATCAATTTTCTCAACGATCATCTCTTCTCAGAACAGTTCTCATTTTCTTCGGTGCAGAAATAAATTACGATTCATTGCTAGAGGTTACTCTTGACTGCCTTGATCGGCCGCCTCATCATCAGCTGTTACAGTGCCGGCCACAACAAGCTCCCCAGATCTTTCTATCGCTCGCTTACTGTTCTACAAGCGTTGTTCCCATTTGATGATATTGTCTTCACGTATCTTGGGAGTTCGCTCAATATATAAATGCATATCGCGAGAGTTGTTTTCTTCCTTTGCACGTTGTATAGTCGAATCATCATGTCATCCCCAGTAGTCGAAACATCATGTCACACAATAGATATCATTTACGCATCTCGAATCCAGCATTATCCAACCTGAAAAGCATTCTTCGTTTGAGATATCCATGTGTTTTGCGTAATTCAACAAAGAGTTTTTGTGGAGTGAGAGTAACCGGTAGTGCAGTTTCATGCAATTTTATCCATCAATTGCGACTGAGAGCATGACTTATCCATCTCATGGGTGTATCTCTTGAAAATTCTTTTTTTGACTGTTCCATCAGTTCAGTTGATTATATTTCATATTAGTTGAACTCATCACTTTCGTTTCGTATGTATGTCTCTATCATTGCGCTAATACTCACTATCAGTGTCACTATAGGAATCTTTATTGCTACCATTATTCCTTTGATTATTAGTATTACGATATCCCATTATCGCCATTCAATTAACTACCGTATTTCTGTCTCGATTACTTATCTTCATCATTTAGTTGTATATCACTGCTAGCATCGAATCAGATTGAGACTTCGGAGTCAAATCTTGATTGCTTACGAATTTTCGTTTTAGTGATGAATATTACTCAAACTTTTGCAAATATGTTTTGTTTTGCGTGCATAGCATAAGCTTATAATTAGAATCATTCAGCTCAAATATTTTGTACATGCGATTAAATGCTGTTCTCAGACATTTGAAATCAACTGCTCAAACAAGAGTAACATTACGGATTTTTTATTTGAACATCAGAAGTTTTCTTGAAAGCAGCTGCTGACCATATGCACTTCAATTAGCTTGTATCTGCTAATGAATGGCTTTTGAGCATTCGCATTCAAAGGCACATTCCAGCTTGTTCAGTGTGTTCCGTTGTTTTTCGTATTTTCAGAATCTGTCTTCAGTTCGATTCTCGAAGTGCGAAATTTACAGTAGTCACATTGTTTTTTTAATGTTACTTTATTATGTCATGTTTTGCATTGAATTAATGTATTACACTGTAATTACGATCATAAAATGGGTTCTTCAAATGTTGCTTCGTTAGAATATTACGATTATATTGTCTAGTATATGTAGATGTAATTTAATTAGAAACTATTTTCATTTATATCCATGCAAAATCTTCTCTGTTGATAGGTAAAAACTGATATCAAATCAGAAAATTTATTTCATTTATCTATGAGTGATTTTTGATTTCCTGCTTTTCTTCGGGACGGCTCTCACTATCAGAACAGATCATTCAGTAAATTACTGAATTTTGTTATGAATAGAGAAACGTTAGATTAGCGACTGAATCTGTTGATTCAGTGTACTTCATGTTACGAGTCGTATGTTTCATTCAGCTTTCTTTCCATCCTGATACAATGTTTTTTTCGTATCGTCGATTCTCGTTTGAAATTTGAATAGTTGTTTGAAAATTATCATATGCAAAAAGTTTTCATTTGAAGTCGTTTAAAGTTACATTTGAATCAACAGTGCTCAAGCATTTATGTGGAATGCAATAGATCTGATTGAATCAATGTTCAGAGCGATTATTCATCATATTTCTTCTTTTTGCATATGATAATAACTTAGTGTATGATAAGAGGAAAAATTGGTCCAGCTCGTGTGGCGCTTTTTATAGGCAACTGAAACCAGCTCTTAAACTGGTTCTGTTTCCGATAAGTGCTAGATTGCAATAACCGTTACATTGCAAAGGTTTGTTTGGACATACTCATGTGATTTCTATTGGTAATTGGTTTTTTGTCCTTGTTAGCATTTGTTATGAAAGATGTGATGATATTTCCAAGTGGATTGTCACCCAAAGCATCCTATTTCTAAGTTATCTTAAATTTTCAAAAATCCCACTTCCCCGAATGTCCCATGTCCTAAAACTTCCCATTTCCAGAGTATTTTTTTAATGTTGCTGAGATGAAGAATTTTGTAATTTATGGGTAACCTGATGGGTGATGTTTGCAACTGAGCTGTTGTATGAATCTAAAATGTAGCCTCAGTCTGATGTTAAGAATAGAAACATGAAACATTCAAGGAATAAGACTGACACGATCAAATCATACTTCACGTTTCGTTTTGTTTGCATTTAAGAAGAGGAATCTAAAAGAGAGATGAAGATTGTTGCGTTCGTTATAGAAGCTCACTTGCACCTTTGAATCAAGAGTGCAGCTGAACTGAGTTGAAACCTTTTTTATTGCAAACAGCGATTAGTTCGTTCGCTATAGCAGTTCGAAGGACACCTGAGAAGTAAAGGAGAATCAAAGATGAAAACATCGAATTTTAAGTTCATCTGAAGGGTAAATGACCGCTGTATTATCGTTATCAGCACTAGTATTATCAATATAAATGACAGTGATAATAGCATTTGTTATAACAACCGTTATTATTAATGTTTTATTGATGTGAATAGCATTTGCAAAGTATTGCCCATAATTATAAAATCAATCAGATCTCGTCTGTTCTTCATATATGTCTCGTTATTCTTGAAGCTGCTTTCTCCAGTTGCTATAGAAACAACAGCAAATCCTTGTGTGTGCCTCCAGTGCAACTATTATTAGCTGATATATTGTGGATATATTATACTCGCGAAATCATTTATATAGTTTTAAAGCAAAAATAAATGAACAAATATTATACTTATGTGAATATGATGAAAATTTTTTGAAGGGGTAAGTCGTTTGAGTTGTTTGATGGTGATATTGTTGATATCCTAATGGAACCGATTGTGAATTCTATACCAACAACATCTCGTGCAGGTTAGTCGTTTGCTTATTTCATTTAAGAATATTTCGAATTTGAAGCACTATTGTTGGTGGATAATGCACATACTAGTCGTTCGAACTCGAAATTGGTAAAAATGAAATTCAGTGCTTCCATCAGATACGAGCGAAGTTCCATCAGATTTGAATAAGTGCCGTACACGAATCGATGCGACCGTTCAACAGCAAAAACGTAATCGACATGTTCTCGCCGCATTGAATAGTCAGGTAATGATAGACTAATAATAAAATTGCAATTTTGTTCTCATTTTTTCAACAGAATGTAAATAACAAAGAATTACAGCTTAGAAAACCATTGCAATGTATTTCGGCACCGATTGTGCGTGCGTTCGATCCTTTGCGTATTCACTTTCAGATGTTTACTTGATGAATATGGAATAGTGCACATTTGAATGGTGTTTAACATTATCAACTCATCAATTGTTATTCATGAGAAGTCGATCACAAATCGGAACAGTCAAAGTACTTTCCGTTGTTCCTAATGAAATAAGCTGTTTGATCTGAAAACAGTTGTTGAGGAGAAAATGAGCTTCGTATTTGCTCGATTATTTCGTAACAGTATTCATCAAACAAAAACCACTTTTATAATGCGTTCACTCAATCGAAATTCTTAACGAAACGATTTCAGATATCAAAATATCGTCAAAAAGCCGCACAAACGAACGCTGAATTGGTTGCTGGTTCAACAAACGAGGAAAGGGATGCTTTGCAGAGTTCAAATCTATTGACTACAAAGTATATTATTTCCACTTAAAATCAACAACCAGCAGTTATGATTTCTCGTTCAATCACCACTATTTATCATTTGAGTCGATTCGGTTTTTCAATTGCTTTTGTTGTTTTTCCAGCGCCGAACAGTGCCATTCAATTGCTCTCTCTGATTCAATAACTCAACTTTTTTTTGAGAAAATAGTTAATCGCTCTAGCAAATAAGTTTTATGGAGAAAACTAAGCAAGTGAAGCAGGGGTGCAAGAATAAAAAATTTGATAAGTTGATGATATGCGTTCATCTGAACTAATCTCGGCGAGCATACAACTCATACGATTGTAATTTATATCATTCTGAATTCTTGCAGCTCATTAGAAACGAATCGAATTGAACAAACAAACGTTGGTATCGGCGGAGCAACACGTAGCTTGATGGCGTCAAATGCGTTGTTCAATCCATCCGTTCAGAGACATAATGTTGATGCGATGCAATCCGCATCATCAACTGAAGTTGTCTTTGAACAATTAATGGTCGAGCAAATGAGGTTATTATTGCTGTGTATGGTATTGGTTTATCATCAATACATCATTAATACAATAACAATTTTAGGAGTTATACTTTGGAGGATATGAATGAAATGCTACGTGATAAAGCTCAGTTAGCTGTACAAGCGAATGCTAGTTTGAGACAAGATTTATTAAGGGCAAGTGAAGAACTGAAAAGACTTTCAGATGAATACAATTTATTATATCGACAAAGCAATGTGAGTGTGTTCATGCGATTAATCAAAATATTTTATTGAAACCTTCAATTACCTATTTCTTTATATAAATACATCTTATTCAGGTGATTGATTGCTAACATTCATGAATACGCTCTTTCACTGTTATAAGAAACGCTTGCAAATCTACATGCACCTCTTTCTTGTTAACATCGAAATAATTTCATTGCACTAGGACGTATTTGATTCAGTTTGTCGGTTGCCCAATGAAGTCTTGTTCAGAAAAAGATAAGTTATTCATTCTTATCATCTTCATGAAGCATGATTTTCAGCGTAAAACTCAACTGCTGAATGTTCAAAACGATCGCATTCGTGAGTTATGGTCAATGTGTAATACTATCAAAAGAAAGGTCAGATTACTTCCGAAATATGACAATTCTATTTTTATGGACACGTCGTACATAATAATATTATGCATGATGATTGTGGAATTTATAAAATTTTGATATTGTGCTAGATGAGGGATCTTAATCGAGAAACAGAGCACGATTTGGAACGACAGAAGACGGAATTTGTTCGCTGTGCCAACAACATGGAAAGAGCTGTGCAACAATTCGAATTTAAGGTTAGTTGATCCTTCAATATCCGCTTCATTGAGCCTTCAGAAACCACACAGAGTACTTCGAACAGATAGAATGACGATTATTGTTCAGTATTTAGTATTGGTGGTTGCCATTTAGTGTTTTTGAGATATTGTTCGCATGTTATTTGCAGAGACAACAGCAACAACATCAACAGCAACAGCATCAATATGAAAACGAAACTGAAGATACAGCTTTTGAGAATCTACTCAAGGATTACGAAAAAATTGTTGTGCGCAATATGAAGGTATATATTGTAATTTCGGTTGTCGCATTTTTCAGTGCGATTTTCCGGATCTGCCTTCTCCAAATTTTGTCAGCTCCAAAAGTTCATTTCTCAAAATTCTAGATTGACTTAAATCGTTCTGTTATTTTTTTCTAATTCAGAGTGCATCATTGAGTGATATCACTTTATGTACACTGCAAAGCGATTTCGTTTGAGTTGTTTATGGGATGACGACTAAGAATTAGAAATGTTTAAATGCAGAAAAGTATGAAGGGAGTCGGTTTGTATGTTGGTGCAAGTTTGAATTTATCACGTAGTGAAAGCTTTTGTGAGATTAATCTATCCATCAAAAAATTCCATCAAATAGCTGAATATTTGTGATTGATTTAGTATGGAGTGGTAAACGCGAAAAATGAGTGTGTATGTTGTGCAGGAACAGAAGAAAGAAGAAATCTATGATTGTGAATATGAATTGTAGATTTAACTGAAACTGGATATGAATTTTAGTTGGAACATGAAGAGAGTGAAAATGTTAAGAAGATAATGCAAATGGAATTATCACTGAAGAGAAGCGATGATGAACGAGGAACACTGCGTGATTCAATTAAAAAAATCCATCAAATGCCTGAACTAGTTGAAGCACGTGGGCGCAGAGCACGATCAGTTAGCCCAGGTGAACGGCTCATTAGAGCATTCTGTGTATTTCTTCATCATCCAAATAAGCTCGTATTATTATATGAATATTTTGGGATCATAAAAGGACGTGTATATTTTAGGGATGGTGAATTATTGAATTGAATTGGTATTTAAACACAAAACTGGACAAAAAAGATCTGTTTCATTTAAAGACAAAACTGTTTCATTTAGTTGGTTACATATCGTCATTTGATACGGTACGTCTCATAAGAAATGCATTACAAAATCGAGATGATGAAATGCGTTTGATGAAGAGGAATGTCGACGATTTAACTGAGCAAATCGAGAACTTCAAACGACAGCTCTCAAAATGTGAAGATGCAAGAAGATCAGCCGACGAACTGGCCAACGATCTGAGAAAACAATTGCAAAATATGTAATCTTAATTTTCTTATTGCAATAGGTCTCCGTCTAATGAAAGTCTATACGCACAATTTCTTGCTACATTACTGTTTAAAGTCAAATAAAAGTCGAATTCGATAAAGCCACATGACTATGTGTATGCCCGATATATAGCAACTGTAATTAGATATATTGCTCGTATCATTGCAGAACCCGTGAGAAAGATGCAATCGATCGCGCACATCGTCACGTTTGTCAAAAAAACGAAAGACTTGATGCGGAAAGAATAGAAGCTAATGAAACAGTAATGAAGTTGCGAGAAGAAATCGCCGAATTGAATAGGTTTGCAAATATAATTTTGGATTCATTTGTCGTAATTCGCATCGTGATAATCAAATTTTGACGATCGCATCAGTCAAAGACAATAAAATGTGGTCCAAAATCGTTTCATGTGCAAAAAATAGTTTCAGATTTTCTCTGTGATATGTATGTGGAGGTAATTTATAATTCTTTGTCGTTTGTTATAATACAGATTATAATTTATAAATCATTGATAACCGTTGATTTCAATCAAATTGATAATCATTTTAAAGAACACATCAAACGGTATTGGATGAAATGTTAAAAAAGCAACAAGATGAAATTGATAAGAGACGTCGTGAGTACAACGATTTAATCGATGAAAATGATCGTGAAAACGTATCGAGAATATCAAAATTGAGAAACGAAATCGAAAACTGGCGATTAGATTTGGAGAAACATAAGGAACAACTTCGAATTGCGTTAGCAGATGCAAGTACTGAACGACGGAGAGTGAAGGATATTGGTAAGTATAGTTTCAGATTTGATCACTTATTTAAGTGTTCTTGTGCGTATTTAATTTGAAGTATTCTTGTGCGTTTCATTTTCATTAGCAATCTCATCAAACCAAGGATGCTTTATTAACAGGCAATTTCACTCTTCGATACTCATGAATTCATTACAGAAATCATAGTGGAAGACTTGAGAAAAGTGGAAAAGGATCAATTGCTAGAAATTGGTGAATTAAAACAAACTGTTGAAAAACAAAAGTTGGAAATAATCGATATGGAGAAGCAACATACAGAATTAAATTCAAAAATCACTCAAAATGATATTACAATTAATAAGGTAAACAAATTCAAAATAAGGTTATTTGAAACTAAAAATCTGCTGAACTGTTGATTTTTCTGATTTGGTCGCTCTGATTATGAAAATGTTGGTATTATTACCACTGTTATCATTATTGGTAATGTTATTGCAATATATCGCAGATGAAATCCGAAAAAGATGCACTGACTGCCGAGAAATTATCGTTAACCGAACAAATCGCTATGTTACGTTCTGAATTATTGCAAAAAAATGGACTAGTGGAACGTTTACAAATCATTCAAAATGGTACTCGTTTGTGCATCTGTAATCTGTGCTTTTCAACTAATTATATGTATTCCTGCATCTTTCATTTGGATACGCCAAAATAATTTTAGATTCGAAAAAATAATCGAACAATTTCAATGCAATTATCAACATGGACACATACAGAAAAACTAATAAAAATGGCCGAAACAATTTTTTTTCAGAGTCATCCTCAAAAATTGATGAACTAAAAATTCAACTGGAAACATACGAGCGGAATGCAATTCATGCGAAAGATTCTCTTGCGGAACTTGAAGCAAAGTTGAGCGCGGTAAGTTTGGTCGGAATTCCAAAGCGTGAGGCTCATAACAATACCGAAATTTCTCAGAATCTTTCTAGTTTTGATCAATATTTGCACACGCCAATGAAGCTTAGTTTTACGTGAGCGAAAAGATGTTTTGAACAATCAGAATGGAATTTGGTCTGCTGAATCTGAATACGCAATCAGAACTCCTCTATCACGCACTAGTTTTTTCGCAAATAGAAATTCAAATCATTGAAACAGTAATGGCCTAGCGATTTCACTTGTATTCTGTTACTTGTATATCATCTACCTGTGTGCGTCAGCGATGTCTCGTTGAAGATGCAACAGTACGAAACAAATTTGAACTTTGTTGGTTTTTTGGTTTAATAGTTTTCGCAAATATGCATTGTTTTGTTTTTTTTAATGAATTTCAGTTCATTCAGGCAAATGATCACATAAGTGCGATCGAATCAGAACGCTTGATTGATAAAGAACAACTCGAAAAGTGTCATTATGATATCGCACTGTTACGTGAGGAACGCAACCAATTAACCATGTGAGACCCTATCGCAATCTTTTCACGAATCTCGCACATTAATTCATTCGTTTTTCACGTTAACTTTCTAATAATTTTGCATTTAAGACTCTCGTCTATGAGTTATTCCATTTTAATATTTGCTCAGTTCTGTCTTCGTGAAAATTTTCATCCATTTAAGCTTAGTTTGATTCTACTTTTGATGTTTGCAATATTGATAATAATAATAATGAGAATAATGCAATTTCTTACTTGTCAACTTCTAATCTTGTGTGCATATGATAGCACATATGATCTAGTCGTTTTGTTGTCCTTCATCAGCATGCATTTGTGATCTGTCAATAACAATACTAATTGCTAACAGCAAAATATCTAATTTGTTGTTACACATCATGACAATTAGTATTCTCTTCAGTGAATTCAATCATTTGAAAGAGGAAATGATGACCGCACAAAGCACCGCAAATAATCTGCAGAAACAGATAAACGTTTACGAAGAGACGATAAAAAGTAGCAGTTTAAAAGTAAGTAATCAAAAAACCACATCTTCATCTCTGACTGACAGCGATCGTGAAATTATTTTGATTCATTCATAAGAATTTATTCGTGGATCATTTTATCATTTCATTTTGAAATTGTATTTGAATTTTGAAAATACGTCTTACGACCTGCAAATAATCGAACGTTCTCGAATCGTTATCAGTCGTGATCACTGATTTTCACAGAACATGTGATATCGTTGGAACTCTTTGGACATCTAGAGAAATTGCGTTTTACATTCTTCTGTGATTCATTGTTGACTGGAATTATGATCATATTGTCGGTGAATCTTTAGTTTTTTTTTTTCAGATGATTCAATAGAAAATCTTTTCATTTGTTCACTGACATAACACAAATAGGAGAACGCAAAAAACGGATACTTGGAAAAATCGCTTGTATTAGAATATTTGATCTTCATGAATTTCAAGATTGCTTTTTGCTTAAAATAAATTAATTTTTGATTTATTCGTTTTGTTTTTAGCAAGTCATCAATGAAGAGACTATTGAAGAGCTTAGAAAAACTGAGAAGAAACTAAAGGGTGCTTTGGATGAGGTGAAGTTACAAAGCGATGGTAAATCTTATGGAGTATCCTTTTGAATTTTCCTTCATTTTGGAAATATCTGTTGACTGCTTGACAGTGCTTTCTGTTAGCACGTCTTACTGCATATAATACATCTTTGAACCTGCCTTCATTTTGCTTGATCTTAATTATTTACGTTTCGATTTAAAAAAATACAGTTATTTATATTGTATTCATTTCTCACTTCTGTCATGTTTATTCATCTCAACTTTATTCAGCAATGACTTCTTTTTCTTCAGCAGTTTTCTGTGTTCAGTTGTTGTTATTTCTTTTATTTTTACCGCTATATTTATGTTAAACGTTCTTTCAGTCAAACTGCAAGAAAATCATGAGATTTTAAAGAAGGAACGTGATAATTTCAAAAAGGAGTTCGAAACTTTGCAAAGGCAACTAAACGATGAATCGACCAAAACGATTACTGACTTACAAAGTCGCCTTCATATGGCTCAAACTGGAAAAGTGTGAAATTTTAAAAATTTTTGCTCGTTTTTTTCTTCAAGTTTGAATTCGCACAGAATGTTTTTTTTTTGTTACTGTTCTGAAATAATTATAATAGGTGATTGATTGCTCACTGATTTCTCTATTCTCAGAGAAATCTCAAGGATTCTCAGAGAAAAAAGACTCTTGTCAAAGAGATCACATTCACAGTCTCACAGAGTTGCATTGGTGTGCAGAAAAGTCATTTCGAAAAAAGAAATTCTTTTGTTTGGAAGTTCTTCCAGATTGGATAAGAAACAAGTAAACTGAAGTCATTTCCATTATATTCTTCAAAAGTTTCGTTCAGAATGAAGTTGAAAGGCGTTTGGTGATTGTAAAAGAACAACTGGACGATCGAAATGCATCATATGAAAATCTGAAAAAGGAGTTTGAAAATTTGAAAATGCAGTTTGAAAACATGCAAGAGAGTTATGAAAGGGAGGTAGATAAATTGAAAAACAATCTCGAAATGATCGAACAGCAACGTACAGTCGATGCTTCTGCTTGGGATGATGACCTTCAAAAGGTATTTTTCATGAAAATGATAATAATAGTAAAGCAATGATAGCAATATTGTTAATAGGAAGTGTTATTGCTATTCACGATAACAGTTTCAAAAATCTACTGTTATTATCATCAGTGTCATAAATAATGAAATCTTATTTTTTGCATAACAATAATTGCTTATTCTTTCCTGTAATAATTGGAAACCTTTTATGTTTTGTGTGAAGTAGAGTCTTCTAGAAGTTTTATGCTTACTCACTGTTCAGTTATTCTAAGCACTGAATAAATGTTTTAAAAAGTGGATGCAAAAGTGAAAATTTCGTTGAAGATATAAAATAAGCGAATTGTTTCTTAGATGAGAACTGAAATGGATGAGGCAGAGAAAAAATGGCGAAAAGAGAAGAATGAACTCGAGGTGAACTGTCAGGAACGGATAATGATTGAAGAGAAATTGAATGAGGAGATTCAAGAGTTGAATGGAAGATATGAAAGTGAAAGGGAAATGGTGAATTATCTGCGCAATGAACTCGATCAGAGGGAGTTCGTTCAATGCTTGTTCCACTCCAAAATTATTTGAATAAGTCTGAAAGATGCATCTGAAATCGATGAGTATTAATTTAATTCAGCTTTATGATACTGTTGCGTTGAACGATTGAATTCGTTTAATTTATTCGTATTTGCTTATATTTCAGAGAGATAACGAAGGGTCAACTTGAAACTTTTGATAATGAACGACAACAATGGAGTTTAAAAATCCGCTCGGCAGAGAGTGAAAGACGTCGAACCGAAGCAGATACGGAGATCGTAAGATCAAAATATGCCGAACTTGAGAACTCATTAGACGATCTACAGAAACGCTTCACATCAAGTAAACATTGCAGCATTCAGTTCATTGGTTCATGGTGTCCTTTTGTGTCAATTACAACTTTGAAAACAATTGTGTTTATGGTATTTGCCGTTTCTATCAGAAAACTAATCCATAATTTGTAGAAGTGAACTATTGTAATGAAATGGAAACTGAATTGAACAAATTGAAAGAGGAATTGAAGAAGAAAGGAGATTCTGAATCAGCATTAAAAGTTCGCGTTGAGGATCTTCAACGTCAACTGGATGAATTGAGCTCACAACGCGATCGATTGCGTGCACTTGTTAATGAATCTACCACCGAAAGTACAGGTATTATAACGCTTTATATATGCATGATGGCACTTCATTATGTGGGTGTCGAATATTGAAAATACGCTCAGATGCCAGACGAAATTTGGCTATTCCGATCAAGAGAGGCTTTCTGAGTATCCAGTCTCAATGCACTGATCACAAACTCACGTCATATCCATGTTACTGCGTTTCTAGGATAAATCTCTGAAACTAGTTATGGTTTGTTACCCATAACATTTCATATCATAAGTACTTCATGGCACTGTCTTACAGAGTTACGCGAGTCGATTTCCATTTCAAAGACTGAGCTAATGAGCATCAAAAATCAACTGATAAACCAAGAAAAGGAACGCGAGAAACAAGCTTCTCAATTGCAGCGCTTAGAAGTGGAGGTTCTATTTGATCGAATATTATTCATTTGTCATATATTTTCGAAAATGATCATTTATCATTGTATTATCGGAATCGAAAATTTGAGAAGAATGTTCCCAAACTCTGATGTAAATAAGTAGTGATGTGCTAAGCGTGGAAGAATTATTTGTTTTCCAGAAAAACCAGCTTCGTGCTGAAATAACAGATAAAAACAAGCAGTTGGCATCGCTTACAGACTCTAAGAGTGAACTGCAGAAGGTACATAACAGTCTTCTTCGAGATTTAGAAAGCGAAAGACAAAAGGTTTATTTTTCTTCAAATCTTACGTTACTGAATATATACTGTTTTCTTCCAATGCATTTTCGAACATCCTTTATCAAAGAATCATGCTCAGTTGCCAGCCAAATACCTGAAGTGAAATTGTTGAAATTACTCACTATCAGA